CGGATTCCTTCCGAAGTGGGGTCAGCCACATTATCCCGTGTCAGATCACATGACTCGCAACGCTTTAACCGCTCCCCCGATTTGGTAATAACAAAAATAACCAATCGACCAGATTTAGACATTTGTTTCTTGTATTTTTCACATTTCTCGCCGGGTTGATCAAAAATTTATGCATTCTTATTGGCACGCATAAAATACCCGTTTGTTTAAAAAGTATTTTTGCGTGTGTTACAATCGATCTTATTTATGTTGACTTTACAAACTTTACAAACGCGTCCATGACAACATGCCAACAGGCGGATTACCGGAAAAAACTCTAAAGGAAGTGCGATATCGGGGTAAGTATTTATTAGTATTTATTGCATTTATTGTTCTTCACTATATTATTCTAACGTGTACCTGTACATCAGATTATTGGGAGGAATCCCATTCCAAGTGGGGAAATACAGATACGTGGGATCACTATTTCATCGGAAAGATACCAATGCAACGAAGCACAAGTCACATAATGTTCTAGGCGCTGAATTAAAAGTTTTGATTCGGCACTTAAAACCAGGAACAAGGGCAAGCAAAAAGGCACTAGCGATGCAACGTGATTTGAAGGTCAGTATTACGAAACAGCTGCTACGCCCTGTGCTGCTGGTATGGGGAAGAAGAGCGCTCAGTCCTATGTACACCACGACATGCATACTTTGCTTTATAGTGTTGTGTGCTACGCCCTGCGCTGCTGGTGTAGGGAAGAAGAGTGTCTGGTCTTTACATCACTGCAGCGTGCGTATTTTGCTTTTTCGTGGGAACGTACCCCGCGACCGCTGGTCGAGTTGAGGTCAATTTTTGGCCGAGGTGGGAAGCGAGTCACAATCTAGCATATACTCATTGTGACTTGTGCTGTTCCCTACTGGCTTAGCAAATTTTTTGCTAATCTTTATTAATATTACAGAAAAATAAAAAACATCTTGGAGGTCCACCTTCTTATAATACGATACAATTACACAACATCGAAGACGAGGAGTCTAATCCAACCGTTGAAGAACTAACATTTGATCCACATATTGCCACATTACTCCTACCATATAGAAGATTTCTTGAAGAAATGAGGAATCATTACGTAGAACAAGAATCACAACGAGGCCGACACTTATCTAATATACTTAAGTGGTCTGTTGTGGAACATTCTTTGTCAGCTTATCAAGACCGGCTGTTGACATGTCATTATTGGAACCTATCCTTATGGAAAACCGGAATAAACCAATCCATCACGTAGTCACGATTTTACGTAATCTGATTGCTAAAGAAATTGTAGATGATGTAAGCCCTGGCTTTAAAAGATGGCTAGAAAGATTATGGAGAGTTCATATAAAGGAACACTACATCATTGATACAGTAACGGCATTAACTGCTATTACTTCAGTTATTTCCTACTCATCTATACCCTGCCGAGGTCCAGGGAGTAAACCATCAGAAAACCATATAAAATCACAAATGTGGGCCAAAATCTTTTCAGATATATTTCTCGCTGGTTCAGACGATACTTATGTAAATTGGGAATATCATCACCAAATCCAGGTAATGGTGGAAGCGGATCAGCTAGATCTGATTTTGCTGCTGTTGTTTTCAATGGCACCGATCAACAGTTTCCCTTTTTTATAGTTGAATTTGAGACTGATGGATTTTCAGTACATAAGGATGAAATAGTCGTGGCGGCAGAAGCTGCATTCGAATACAATCGTATTCTTGCAGCTGCCCACCATTTATCAGAAGATGAAGTAAATGCACTTCGCCTGCATATCGGTCTTATAAATGGAACAACCATTCACCTGGGTTCAATGAAGCCGATCTATGACGAAGAAAAAAAATCTTTGATCTATGCCTATGAAATAAACAACATCACTTTCAATATACCCAGCTCGCATAATCGAATTGATCACTAAAGTACAAAAAATTCCCAGACATTTTCCAATTGCCCGTACTATTTTTTTCGACTATCAATTCAATTCAAGTGAAGTCACATCCATTAGAGCCACGTTTTATGAGTTTCAAAGATGCTAATAAATTCGTATCTTTTAAGATTTCCAATTCAGGTAAAATATGTAGTCAATCGACAAGTCAATTATTGTTGGGAGGGGGGGTCATGATGAAAAACGGATTATGGTGAAAATTTTGGCCAAAATTGTGCAGATCGTGCAGATCATTTGTCCAGAATTATCGACAGTTTCTTATAATAAAAGAACAATATTTTGAAAATAATTATAAATGCATAAAATATATAACTAAATTAATTTTGCAATAATGTTTATATTTCTAAATACTATATAAATTTATGGTATAATTATTATTTATAGTTTATTATAATAGTAAAGATCGATCCCTTTGAAACTTCAGTATCTATATCGATATCAAAAAAGTTTTATTTTTGATATAACAGAGGGTTAAATTAAAATACATTTTTGTTGGCAGAATTTTATCAAAAAGTAGTTAATGTTATCGCTTCAATGGACAAAGTGTTGAAACATAATTTGTGACAAAGTAATGATGTAAAGTGACAAGATTGCGAATGTGACAAGTTCGGATGTTCAAACCATGATGTCATTATGGTCATACCACGTGTCAAAGTCTGAATTAGTTTATTTACTATTTTCTAGGTTAAAAGAGATGCACATAACTTCTTTATACTGCTCTTATCACATCTTTGAAGATAAGGAACGATAAAGGCGACGAATGGAGGAGCCAAAACTTAATTCCATTTATCATATATTAATTACTAATTTTAGTTCGGAACTAAGGCCAAGATTTTTAAAATATTCTGTCTGCAATATCATTAAGGTTCATCGATGATAAGGATCGGACCCAATGGACCGACAACTAAACCAATATTTATAGCTTTTACAAAATTTTGGGTCGAACAAAAAACTTGTTTATATGACTTTCTTATATCTTATATCGAGTGTTTCTAGTGAGTCGTATCCTCCCCCAACTAAAACTGATTTATCACGAACATACCAATATCCTATTCACATGAATCAAAAACAAAACTAGAAGCTGGTGGGCATCTGATTAATTGGATTGAGATGATGTAGAGGCTAAAGCAAAATTTCAAGCATCATCTCATGAAGTTTCTAGTCTCGAGGCTTCAGCTGAAGCAAGATTCGGAACAGGCGGTATTAGGCAAATGCGAAGGCTGATGCTTCGTTGCTTCGGCATATTAACGATAACGGAGATGTAAAATTTAACGCGAAAGCAGGCGCCGAAGTAGTGATGGGCGCTGATTTCAAGCTCAAGCTAAAGGTGTAGATCTTATAAACGTTGAAACTAAAGGCGTTAAAGCAAATATTGGGGATAATGTCGATACGGGTGCATTTGGTCCTGATGGTATAGAAGTTAAGGTTGGAGGCTTTGGTATAACAATAGGAAAAGAAATAGGTACAAGTACACTCTTTGGAAGAATTTCAATTAACCTGGGAGAACTTTTGGGAGTATTTTTGGGTTGGAAAGAGCATTTTAATATAAACTGATATCTTAATAAATTAATAAGCTTTAGCTTGTATCATAAAAGTACAAATTGGAGAGAAGTTATAAGTACTTTTTAAGAATCTTTAGCCCATGTATACTCACTTCTCGCATAAGTATCTTATCCGAGTTTCCCTGTATTGACCATTAAACTTGTTCTCTCGTTGAATTTCTTTAAAAAAGTACAAGAAATTCCCAGCCACACATTTCCAATTCGTCCACACTATTTCTTCACACTCACATATTTTTATGATAGGCTTCGTTTTATATCCAATTCAAGTGAAATTTTATCTATTAAAGCTACAAACTCCCGAGGCTTTTGCGGAAGTGCACAAGTACTTGTATGAATCCGGGCTGAATTGGCAAAATGTTCCACTAGCTCCACAGTATATTTTATGTCCCGACTGAGAGATGTACTTTCCTTTCTATTGTCACGTCGAACACTGAATTTTTTAAAAAGTGGCTTGGGTCAAATTTTATTGTATGTTGATGAGATAATCGTGTAAAAATATTCCAAATTGAAGACAATATACATAAATAAACAATGGTTAGTTCTTGTTCTTTCATTTTCTATAATGTATTAAAGAATTAGCTTGTATTGAAATTTTACTTTTTGCAGGTTGTTTTAGCAGCTTCAATATGTACAAAAGGCGGGAAAGGTAAAAAACACCAAAGCATTCGTTGTTGACGTAACCATAGGCAAATTCTAATTAATTTTCTATTAAAATGCCCGAGTATAGTCGTAATTTCTCGACAATTTCGGGAAATGCCAAGGCCACGTATAGAAGGGTTACTTGCCTCGTTTCCAAAACTAACTAGTGCAGGGCAGCAGCATACTACTATAGAAATTGAACATGTTCGATACGTTTATCAGCCACTCGATGAACTATATATTGTTCTTATCACCAACCGACAGTCAAACATACTGCAAGATATTGATACGTTGCATTTATTCGCGCGTGTTGTCTCGGATGTATGTCGATCTACTGATGAACGCGAAATTCTAAAGAATAGCTTCGAATTGTTAAGTGCTTTTGATGAAATTGTGTCGTTAGGGTATAGAGAAAATGTGAATCTAGCTCAGGTTAAGAGTATTATTGAGATGGAAAGCCATGAAGAGAAAATCCAAGAAATATTAGCAAGGGTATGTATATTTATAGATCAAATGTAACACTAGAACATTGATTGTTTTTTTGAAATAATAATAATAATATTCCTATTCAGAATAAAGAGCAAGAGGCCAAGGAAGAACTCAAAAGACGAGCTAAACAACTTGAAGTTCAAAAGAAAGAAATGCTTAAACGTGGAGGAAATTCTTCATTTGGAAGTAATTTCAGTCAATCGCTTAATAGGCTAGCTTCATATTCTGAACCGCAAGTACAATCTACATTTGACGACGGAGTTCGCACCTCGTATAGCAGGTAATAATATAAAATCATGAATTTAGTAATAAAGATTGTCACTAACAAAAATTGATCAATTCTGATAATTAGTTCTCCATCTTCCTCAGTATCCTCAAAAGCGAAGGGTATGCAACTAGGACGCAAACAGAAAGTATCTGATCTGTTTGAAGCGGTTAAGAGCGAAACTGGCTTTGAAGAAATAGTTGAAAAAACAAACGTGAGAAGCAGCACAACAGCTGTCTCAAAAGTACCTATGGAAAGGTTATTTTTGCATTCTATTATTTGTTTTTTTGACCTCCTGGTTAAATGCATTTGTTTAATTGATCGAATACACACTGATCACTGATCTCTTAATACAGTGTTCATATATCCATCTCGGAAAAGATCTCTCTTGAAGCCAATCGTGACGGAGGATTAGAAAATTTAGAAATTAAGGGTGATGTGAAACTTACGATTTCCGATTCAAACTTGACGCGCATTAAAATAGCTGTTGATGCGGTAGATGACGGTAATATACAGCTTCAGGTCTGTCTACGCACTAAACTCGTATTAAGTTTATCGAAACGAAGAGATTGATAAATTTATATTTTCGAAAAATTACAAATATTAATTAAATAGACACATCCAAACGTTGACAAGAAATTGTTTACAACTGACAATATAATCGCGTTAAAGAGTCCAGGAAAAGGGTTTCCTGTTAATCAACCTTTGGGTGTTCTAAGATGGCGATTCATATCCAAAGATGCTACTAACATTCCGCTCTCAAGTAAAAGAATATACATTATTTTTTTGCATTTTTTTTTTTAGCTAACAACACTTATTTGATGGTTTTTTATGTAATAAAAAAAGTAAATTGTTGGCCTTCTCCTGCTGGTGATGGAACAATCGATGTAAATATTGAGTATGAACTAGAAAACGAAAATCAAGAATTCAAAGATGTGTTGATTTCAATCCCTCTACCGTAAGTTTTCTAAAATCATTCTCTATATATATTTTATTTCTTGGTGGAATTAATCTGAATTGATTATTATGTCTAAAGATCTAACGGTAATCCTAAAGTTGGTCAAGTAGACGGTCAATATGAAGTGAATCGGCAAACACGCACTTTCGAATGGCAATTACCGATAATTGACGCGTCTAATAAACAAGGGACCCTTGAATTCAATATTTCAGGGGATGATGCCAATTTATTCTTCCCAGTAAATGTGTCATTTGTCAGTGAAAGATTGATTTGTGATATTGATGTGAGTAATAATCTTTCTTTGTTACTAAGTTATGCTTTATAATCAATTTACCATTATTGCTGTTGTCGGTATTAGGTTAAGGAGATAACAAACCTGGATAATGGAACTTCTGTGACTTTCTCCAAAGAAAAAATTTTAACGACAGAAGATTATAGTGTTGTATAATTTGATAATGACAATAGCAGTGTCAGTAGTAGAATGAGCGCCTGAACGGTTTAAATAGGCGCAACCCAAGGGGTCGCGTTGTTTTGCCGAGACGTCGTTGAAGGGATAATTCTGTCGCTATGCAGCTTATGCAAAAAATGAATAAACAAATTCATATATAGAATAGATATAATTTTGTATTACTTATGGATATTTATTAAAATTTCTCATCATATTGCACGTGCTAACGTAGTTCGATTCGACAACATGGATTATCACGGGTAAAAAGCGTAAATGAGATTAGATCTCACCTTTTTTGTTTCACACAGCCATGCAAATTTAAGATTTTATATCATTGCACTTGTTATATAATGAGGACTTCATTAGGTTTTTCTTATTATCAAACTGGTTTAAAAATAAACCCGGTTCCAAGCTATACGTTGGACAAAATTGTCCGTTTCAAACTATATATGTTTTTGTCTATATACATCAAATTTGGTTATAGATGATTAATAGACTGTCTTTAAAAGAGAAAGAACGGCATCAACTAATTAGTTAATATAGAGATATCGTAAAAAATAACCTTCCTCTAGTTTCTCTGCTAATTACAACTAAATAAAAAGATATACTCGTAAATTGTCTCTGCATATTACCGAGAAAAATACTTTTTATACTTCATCGCTGGTGAGTTGCTGTTGGCTCTTAAACACTTGATCCTGATGATGTTCATGCGTTGAATTTTTAAAAGTATGGAAATTTTCAACGCCTGATTTGCATCGTAATCCTGGCACGAGTTCATCAAATTCATTACGGGAAGTCTACGGACAGTGCATAGGGACAGTGCAAAATCATGTGATCTTTCCGGTCCAGTGTCGGACAGTA